ACAAATTCAAATAAACTTGAGATGAACGCGTAGAGAGCAGTTGGTCGCTTTCTTGCAAAACTTTCTTGCTGAGTGTGAAAAAAAACATTCCGAATTCAGAAAAGATCAATTCAAATTTCTTAAAAGCTCAGTTTAAACACTTTACCGTTTGTTTTTAATTAATATTCCTTTATACAATGGATACTATTATAAACCAGAGCAGCAACTTAGAGGTCTTTAAGAAGACCATTGGGAAGATCCAGGATCCTAATATTCGATCCGTTCTTGATTTTCTCCTACAACAAAATTCAGATAAAGATCAAATAATTACCAGATTACAAAACAATATTACAGACCTTGAGGTGAGAGTATGTGGACAGGAACGCTACACATCAAAGGACTGTGTTATTATGGAGAATCTACCATTGGTTGATGATAAAGGTTTGACACTCTCTCAACAGGTTTGCAACTTCTTACGAAACTTTTTGAATTATGATACGACCCCGAGCAATTTTAAGGCTTGCCTTTTTTTGGGACCCTGGAGAGACCTTAATCGCCCCCCAGCTGTCATCATCAAATTCATATATTTCGAAGAAAAAAACGAGGTTTATTCGAGAAGGAGTTGGTTAGCGAGTGTAAAAAATCCTAAAAATGGGTATTCGATATTTTTTAAAGAACGGCTACCTCCAAACGATCGTGACATAAAAAAGTACGCGGATTCCCTGGGTTTAATCACAACCACCTCTAATTGTCAGGTGAAAGTTTATCAAAAAACGGAAGAGGGCAAATTTTTTACGGTTATTGTGAACTCGACAAAGGCTGTTGACGATATTTGTGTGAGAGCTGTTAAACGACATACAAAAAAAGATGTGGTTGAAAACTCGTGTACAACAGATCAAATCCATATTCCAAAGGATACTGACTTGAAATTAGAAATTTATTGAAAAGGCTGCGGGACTCTCCGGAAGAAAGAGCTGGTGTTGAGTTACTAACTGATTATATTCAATTACGAAAAAAACCGCAGAGAGATAATACTGATGACAAACTTGTTGGAGCGAACAAAGCACTATTTCAATCTGAAAATTCACACAATGCAGAATGTTAAAGGAGAAGTGACTTCTATCTCAAAAAGTCAAAGAAATACTTTTAGTTTTTGTTTAAAGGGTACAACCTGGTTATCCTAATGGAGAAAAGTGGAGATGTTTTATTTTTAAATGTGCAATCGTTGCGTAACCATCATGACCAGCTATGTGTACTTGTTGCTTCACTTTCAATTAGGCCTGCAGTAGTTGCGTTATGTGAAACTTGGCTCAATCAAAACGATGAAGTTAATATTTATGGACTTGATGGGTACCACAAAGGAGTTTTCATTAATCGTCCTAACAGAATTGGAGGGGGAGTGGCCTTCTTTGTAAGAAATGACCTGGATTTTTCATATACTGTGCATGAAAATGAAATTGAGCATGTAATGGTTGAGTTTTTGAATTCTTCGGGCAAAAAATTTAGCTTGACCATAATTTATAGACCACCATCTTTTAAGATCAGGAATTTTTTTGCCCAACTTGACCAATTACTAAATGACATCAAAACTTTTTCTTCTGAAATGTATCTGGTTGGTGATTTTAATATAGATTTACTTAATACACGGTCATATGGTGTTATTGAAGAATACCGGATGATTTTGACTTTTTTTGACTTAACTGTTAATGAAAGTGAAGCAACACGGGTAACAACAAAATCTTCGACATGCCTGGATCACTTCATATCGAATAAAAAAAGTGATGTTCAAGTTCTGAAAACATCTTTAAGTGATCATTACGCATTAAAATTTTCTCTCCCATTTTTTGTATTTAAACAAAAAATTCAAAACACTTCATACAGGGATTTGAAGCCATTGGAAAACGCGAATAATTTGCTGAAACTTCTTTTTTTATTAGACCAAAAATTGAAAAAACGCCTAGCTTTTGAAAAAGATGTTGATAAAACAATTGCTATAATAACCCAAACAATTTTGGAAGTTTTTGATAAATTTGCTCCCGTGAAAAAGTGCACTACAAAAAATAAAAAACACTGGCTAACAAAAGAAGTTGTTGTAGCATGTCGAAGGCGAGATGAAGCTCACAAACAAATGATTTCAAAACCATCTATCGAGAATTGTGAAAACTTCCGAAAACTGAAAAATTTTGCGAAATCAGCCACGCGGAATGCTATTCGAAATTTTTATGATTCAAAGATGAACAATTGTTCCGATGCCTCGTCTAAGTTTAAGGTTTTCAATACCTTCTCTTATAAATACCGTGAGCAAAAATGTAAAATAGATGTTGACACAATGAATGATTTTTTTGCCAATATTGGACAACGTCTGGCTGATAGCATAAAAAAACAGATAATTTTGTTTTTAAAAGTCCTTCAATTGAACACACATGTGCGCTTCATTTCGCTGATGAAATTGAGATGAACAAAGTGATTACTTCTTTAAAAAACAAAGCTTCCTCTGGTCATGATGGTCTGAGTAATAATATTGTTTAAATTTGTGCACCAGTCATCGCACCCTACTTGACTTCAGTTTTTAACCAATGCATACATCTTGAAACATTTCCCGACTCGTTTAAAATAGCAAAAATTCTTGGGTTGCATAAGGAGGGAAGTTGGGATATTCCTAACAACTATAGACCAATCAGCTTGTTAACATCTTTCAGTAAAATTTTCGAGAAATTGTTATATAAGCGAATGATGTCTTTCGCAACAAAGTTTAAAATAATTTCTACCAAACAGTTTGGATTTCAGAAAAATCATTCATGTGTTCATGCCATCACCAAAATAACAGAATATATCAGGAAATCGATTGAGAGAAAACATTACGGATTTGCTATTTTTGTAGATCTTAAGAAAGCATTTGATACAGTTAATCATGATATACTCTTTGAAAAACTGTGCCTATTGGGATTTCGGGGAAAACTTGGAAATTTGCTAAAGAAATATTTTCAAAATAGAAGACAATTTGTTCAAAATGGCTTAGAAATCTCGTCTTTAAAAAACATAACATGTGGAGTGCCACAAGGTTCAGTGTTAGGTCCCTTATTATTTTTGCTTTACATCAATGATATAACAGACCATTTAGACTACAGTGAAATAACTCTTTTTGCGGATGATACAACAATGATTGTAAGTGAATCATCAACCTCAATACAGCTAAACTTGCAAAAGGAACTGTCAAAAGTTGATGACTGGTGCAAAAGTAACAAACTTACCATCAACACCGGGAAATCTAAACTAATGTGCTTTGGAAAGAATTTCAGTAATCAAAACACTTTTTATATAGGAGAAAATAATCTAACCTATACTAGTTCTTTTAAGTATTTAGGAGTAACCATTGATAACAAATTGAAATTTTCTCAGCATATTGATTTAATTTGCCTTAAAATGGCCAAGTTCAATGGAATTTTGTATCGAGCTCGAAATTATTTCTCGAAAAATGCCTTAATTCTTTTTTACAAATCATATATCGTACCAGTAATATCATATGGACTCATGGTTTATGGATGCTCATCTAAGCAAAATCTCATGAAAATTTTAGTAGCCCAAAAAAAATTATTGCGCACCATTGCATTCAAAAGAAAATTTGAACAAATATCACATATTTTTGAAGAACATAATATTGAAACTGTTCATGATATGTTTCTGAGGCAATTAGTGTCCGAAACAGTATTGCAGGTTCATGGAACATCACCGTTAAAATTCTTGGAAAAACATAACGTTAAGGCCAAAAGAATGACAAGGTTTTCGAGTAAGGGTCTCGTTAATTCTTTTTTTACGAAGTCGTGTATCACTGAAAAAACAATTGAAGGTAAAATAGTAAAATGCTTCAATTTTCTGCAAAAAAATGATCTTTTACCTACTGATTTGAAAAGTTATTCAAGTCATCAGCTCGCAAGATTCAAAAGCAGCTTTTCTTATTATATATCAGAGATAACAAGGTGTTGATGGAAATTTTGTTATAATATAGGCTAATTTAAGTATACTATTATCTCCAATTTTTTTTCCGTTGCTGGGGTGCTACTTGATGGGCTGCACAGCCCGTATAGATACTCCTGATGCATTATACATATAATTTTTTTATTATTGTGTATAATTGTATCGAATTCAAATTCAAATTCAAATTCAAATATTTTATCACTTTTGATTGTCAAAAGCAATGCTTCAGTCATATACAACCCGTTACAGAAGCTGTAATTTTATCTTGCAGTTTTATCTTGTTTCATACAACCCGTAACAGAAACTGTAAAAGAAGCAGGTTAATTTTAGGGCGTAAACTTGGAATGCTCCTAAGAGTGCAGATTAGGCATTTCATACGAAGCTGAACCGTAGTGACAATTGTTTGAAGTTTTCTTCTTTGACTATTAGTTGTCAAACAAAAAATGGAGACAATTAGAAATTTTACATTGGTGACTAATGCTGATCAGTTATTACATGGTAACCCTTACAACTTACGGAATGGTCATCCATAGATGACAACTCCCCCCCCCCCCCCCCACACACACCCCCAACATATAGTTTTAAATGCGTACTACTTGATGGGATCTCTATGAAAGCTTTTTTTGTATTATATTTGTCCAGATGAACCAAAAGTAGACATCTAAAGCTTAGAAATTTTCTTTTTTATGATTAATAAGACGAACTTTTTCGTATGATTATGTTTTCACAAAAAATCACAATCGATTATAACTGTTTTTAGAGTTTTTTCGAAATATAAGTGAAGTATACTATTTTCAAAAATGTCAAGATTATAATTGATTGTAACTCCTTTAAATTCGTAACTTTGTTTTTTTATAGTAGAAACAATTGACACAAATTTTATATAGAAGTTCGTTATGATTACTTAAGCCTCAACTTGGATACGTGTAATAGTTTGACAGCACGAGTAGGTGTTTTAACTTTGAGAGTTTTTTCATATTGTAGCTTGATATTTTTAGTAGCTGCATCGGGCCTGAGAATAAAGTTAAAGAGGAGTTCTTACTTACCATCCTGAATCCACCCCCCTTGTCCTCGGGTTGGCCATTTCTTCAGTAGTGACCAGCATGAACTTGTTTTTCAGTTTCTCATGGCCAGGTTTATTAACGAAGTCTAAAAGGAAAGTTTTAAACTCTGTTTTTCCTTCTGGAACTGCGAACAGAATGTGTTCTATCTCGCTATCATTGGCTGCTATTTTTGCCCGGGCTAACAAAAGGGCAGTTTTGCCGGAACCCGGCTCGCCCGCTACGAAAACTCGCCGTTTATTCTCGGATAAAATCCGATGTTGTTGTGGGCTCAAAACCACATCTAGAAAATCTGACTCGTTGTCTTCAAGCTTTGTTTGTTTCGAAGACCGCTTCCGTTCTTGCAAATAATTTTCATCGCGTGGAATAAGAGCTTTTTCAACACTGGAAGGAAATATTTCCTTTTTAATCAAAGTGCTAAGGGCGAAAATACCCGAAACAAACTCTAGTTGTTTATATTTTAGTTTCGGTTGTCTGTAGTTCACTTTCGTTTGAAGAACGTCGGTTACTTGAACAGGACTTTCTGAAACTTTCAGATCTTGGTCAACATAAAACGTTTTCGGCTTCGCAGGTGAGTACAAATCTTCGTGCAAAAGAAAGAGAATATTGGAAAGTCGATTTTCATTAGTACTGGAAATCAAACCAAATATTTTTCGATATAACACTGCTTTCTGCTTGCCAACTTTAAACGGCTCTTTTGCCGTTTGGAGAATTTCAACAAATTGTTCAGCGGATAAATTTGGAAAGAAAATAACAAATCGAAAACATCTTTTTATAAATTCCCAGTAACGTTTACTAAATTCTTCGTCATCTTGACTCCCGGAAACATTTTCGGGAAAACTCCTAAAGATGGCGTGCAGTGCTAAATACATTGTAGGTAAAGATTTGCTCAACACTTGTTGGAGTTTATTCAATATTGCAGTAGTTGGATTTTCCGGTGAGTTTGTGCGGCCGATTTCAAACGCCAGAATCATTTTGTGTCCACAATAAATCCAGTCAATATCGAACTGATTATTGAAAAAGGGCCGATGGAGAATTGCATTGAGCTGCATATTTTTGTATGCTTTGATTAACAGCCCCACAGGTTTAGAAACTTTGGCAACAAAACTTTCCAAAAATTCTTTCAACTCGCCAATATATCCGTCACTACCGTCGAGTAATTCACCTCTTTGGCCTGTTTTGTACAGCAAAGTCTCCTTTATTTGCAGAATACTGGGTAGAATTTCTAATCTGTGGTCTTTAGCTGGGAAATATAATTTATACATGTACACAACCTCGTCAAAATCTGTCAGGGTAATTTCAGCGCTTCCAATTTTTTTGAACTTTTTCGGAGTTATTTGAAGGTCGATTTCGATGTCGCGCTTTCCCAAAAACTCAAAAATTGACTCTTTAATTGCTCTTGGAATCTCTCTCGAATCAGCGAATGCTTGCTTCAATTTTTGTTTTTGCTTTCTTTCCAGAGCTGGATCTGAGTTTTTCAAAATAAAGTGAAATTCAATTTCAAGTTTGTTGAATTCGTTCTTAATTACAAATTGCTTTATTTGATCAAGAATTGCTGCATAATTTTCCGGTGCTTTGTTTGAATCTGTTTTATTTACCTTGTTTGCTTGGTTTTTCTGGTCTTCAACTTTAAAAATTATCAACACGGCAACAGGAATTTTCTCGCCTCTTTCCTTTTCGAAGGTCAAGTTAAGTCGATTAAGTTGTGATGTAATTGGGTTGCCGATTAAGGTTTCAAGATCTTCTCCGGATCTATCATGAATGATTTTAATCAGAACAATTTTACTGAAATTTGGAGCAGGTATGAATAAACAGGAATCCCTAGAACTTATGTTTTCAGAGATCGTATCAGGTTCAAAACTGTCGCAGATAAAAAAGCCGAAACATTTTTCGCGCGTTAGAAGTTCGATTGAAGATTTGCTACACAATTGGCTCACAATTTCGGGCTCGTCTGAAAATGAAATAGGTGGTCGCGGAAGAATCGTTAGACTGTTCTTGTGATTCTCGTAATTTTGTGTCAAAATCGTATTCATTTTTGTCACTTTCGGCGGACTTAATTATAGATCCTTCTTGCCGCCGTCTAAAGTAACAAGCGTAGCTGTTTACTGTGCATAAAGAACAGAATGTTCCGACCACGTTCACAAAATATTCTAAGAGAAGAATTTTTTCTTCTTCCTCAATTTAGTGTCTTTTTTGTGCATAACGTGATAAAAGAATTACAAACACGTAAAAAGTTTTAAAAAAATTAGGCATAGTCCGAAAAATTATTTTCAACAATTGAGAATCAAACAAAAAATGAATAAAATTTTCAAAAAAAATTGTAGACCTTAGTTTTTTTTTGCACTATATTTTTTATAAATTAAAATAACTGATAATGTCAAGGTTGCGCTAATTGAAGCTTCCACAACTAGTTTTTCCTCTACTGAAATAAATTTTCTGAGCCTGCGTGACCAATTTTTATTTCGAATCACGGCTGAAAGGGCTTTAATATGATTTGTCACTCGAGCTGTTCAGATAATTATTTGTGGTAACTAAATTAGCGAGGAAAACAGAAAAAAGCGGAAACGAACCGGGCTGCTAAGTCCGTTCCCAATCTCAATGATCAGATTTTGATGGAAAATTGTTCGACCATTCAAATGGCAAACAAATATCAATGAATGAAAGTTTCAAAAAATGTCCAAAATATCCAATGATTGTGCTCAATATCTTTAGAAATTAAAAAACTTATGGTGTTACAGAAGCGCTAATTGAACCTTCTTGAAGCGCTAATTGAAGCGCTGAAACATCAAAATCAACGCGTTCCAACTCAAAAAAGTATTCTATGGGGTCAAAAGGTTTTACGGATAGTCGGTCAAACCTAAATGGACTATAACTCGATGGAATATTGGTGTATTGGTGTTAAAGGTCGCCTTGTAGAAAGAGAAAGATACTACAATACGTTGGTTTCATCAAACATAGCTCTTAATTTTGCTAATAAATAACAATGATGGTCCAAATCTGTGCATCCTCTCATATTTTTTAATTGAAAATACGGCCTCAAGGCATCAAAATGTGATTATCATCGCTATTATCCCTATGAATGACTAAAAGTGTTTAAAAAAGTCGAATGGGGTATCATTTAGGAGGCAAAAAGGGTGTCGAGTCAACCCCTGGCCAATCCCCTCCTAATCCCGCTCCCGCTGTTTGTCAGTTATAACGAGTTTTTAGAAGAATATTTTACCTGCTTTTAGAAGAATATTTGGGGCCTGAGCTAATCAAATGTCTGCAATGGCCGAAAACGCGATTAATAACATTAATATAGAAAAAATTCAAAACTCGTCAACTAATTGCTGCAAAATGCGCTTGATAAAATATTGTTTTTAAACCATACGTTGTATCATGAAAATAAATAAATCATCCGAGTGTCACACTTTTGTTAAAATGAAGAATGTATGAAAATGAAAAACATCGAAGATGATTTAATTAGTTTCATGATACAACACGATGGTCAAAAACAGCAATTTTATCAAACGCATTTTGCAGATAGTTAACGCGTTTTGGAGTTATTTATATTAATGTTATCGAACGCGTTTTCAACCATTGCAGAAATTTGATTTTTGGACAAATGCTACTAGAGCAACGTTCCAGTTTTTTTGCCGATTTAGCTCTCGTTGATATTGTTCATGTAAGATATATTTTTATCTTTTTTTGTTCAAGATCAACTGAGCACGCGTTCCTCACAAAATGAACAGCAGCTTGCAACTCTGCTTCCAATTTTTTTCTGCTTCCTTTTCACTAACCGTGTACGTTTTTAAAACCGCTTAAGGAAAACAACTTCAACATGATAGCCTCACACATGAACGCTTCAAGAATCCCGGTTCGACTTTTATGCAATAAACGCTGGTCATACAATTTCATGAATTGACGTTATGAAAAAACGCATGCCATACAAATTTCAGTCAAGGTAAAGAACCGTTTTCAAGTTTTTTAAAAACAGGTTCTTGTCTATTTGATGGCCTTCAAACTTTCTGGTCATCAACCTTAAATTTTTGAGGATAAAAAAAGTCTTATCATACAAACTCCGCGCATAAAAAAAATACTTTTTATTTTATTTTTTTTTCTAATGAAAGAAAACATTTTTTTTGTAACTCAAAAATAGTAACACGGTGAACACGATTTTTTTGTTAATTTGATAAAATGTTTTGAATGCATATCTGTAAGTTTTTGTCTATTACGTAGTTCAGACTCAAAATGCCACATAGAAGAACTAAAATGCACAATGAAAGGATAATGGAGTCAGAATTACTGTTTTTTATTTTCAACAGAGCCGGACAAAACAGATAGCAGCTCAAAAGTTTCTCATCATTCTGAAAAAAGTGAAAAACCCCGGTCGCATAAAACAGATACCCGCTCTAAGTTGTCGCACCGAAGCAGCCGACATCAGCAATCAGGTTCTCAGAAATCTAGTTATACCGCCGCTCCGTCGAAAACACTTTCTGAGAAAAAACGCGACTTAATGATTTTAAAGAAACAACAAGAGGAACTTGAGAGGCAGGCAAAGGTATCATTAAGACTGAAAGAGCAGCAAAACAAGATGAAACAATATGTTTTAGAACAACAAAGCAGTTTAGAGTTGGAAGAATTGGCTGAAGAACATAGGAAAAAACTGGCAGAAATTGAGTTGAAAGGGCTTGAGTTAGAAGATGAGTTGTCGGAAATCAGCGAGAATGCTGAGGAAAGTGGTTTAACTCGAATCTCTCCACAACTAACAATAGACGAAAAGGATCGTACGCGTCACTGGGTCGAATCTGTCGACCACAATCAGCCTGATGCTGTTGTAGTTCCCAATCAAGAGCAGCACGTTCGTTCAACAGCTCCTGAGGCAACTTATCCTGCATCAACAAATTACTTGGTCTCATCAAGTTTTACAGGAGTGAATAATGGCCAGGCAGCTTCTAGTGATCCGGGATTGTATTACAGTAACCACATTCACGGACAACAACATAATTTGTCGAATTTGGTTCGATCGCAGGTTTCCGTTAACAATCCAGTAGGGTTACAGCAGGTCATGCAACCTGTTTCCAATAATTTGCCTCAGCAAACTTTTTTGTCCACTCGTCCGGGGCTAGGCAATCCAAACACAGGTTCAGTAGTCCCGGTAACTTCTGAAAACTATTTTGCTCCGCCATCATCTGCAGAAGTTCCTTCTGGTGTAACACCGTTTGTTCCTGCATCAACAGCAGTTAATCATGTTTCTTTAAGTCATCACACTGCAGGATCAGTAGTAGCTGGCTACCAAGCACCTGTAGCCCCATCACAACAACATATGGGTGTTCCCGTTAGTAGTTATAACTTTTCAAGTGACCACTACAATCCTTATAGTAATTTGTGGAGACCAGCTGTTGCTACCCCTTTAATGTCAACTCAACAGCACTACGTTCCTTCGACAACTGTTTTTTCCGCAGTAACTCCGATTGTTCCTACGAATAATTTTGTTCCTTATACAAGTGGAGGGACTGTGTTCTTTGCGCAGCCTGAGAACTTTTCACAAGCTAATCAACCGTTCGTTCCTGATTGTCACGGTAACTCTTCGAATTACACAGAGCCAACTCCCGGTAATTCACCTGGTGCAGACGTCGAGCGTCCACTTTCGACACGAGAGTTGGTTAATATACTCATGCACAGCCGAAAAGATCATCTCCCTGAGTGGAAGCTGACCCAGTTCGATGGCAACCCACTTAATTGGCATGAGTGGTTTGGGCAATTCACATCGACGGTCGATTCAGCCATACTCAGTGACGATGAAAAGCTTACCTATCTGAAAACGCTTGTAGTGGGTAAAGCAAAATCCGCAATCGCTGAGTATAGCTATAGCGGAGTACTATATAAAGACGCATTAGCAACTCTTCAAAGAAAATTCGGGCAGCCGCATGCTGTAGTAGGGGCTCACCTAGATAAACTGAGTAATTTTCCGCCGCTGAAAATGCATAACTCGGAAAATGTAATTGGATTTTCCTCTGCAATTTCTGGACTTGTTGCCGTATTCAAGTCTCTGTCTTTTAACGACGACCTGAAAAGTGTTAACTTACTGAATCAGGCTGTGAGTAAGCTTCCCCCGAACCTTAAGGAGGCATGGTCGATGCAAACCGTAAGACGCCAATGGCATAGACCAACTCTGCTAGATTTCAATGAATGGCTCAAAGAAAAAGCGGAGGGTCATGAGAGGCTGAAAACGATCAATTCTAAGGGTAAGTCTGAAGAACCAGTTAAACAAAAAGTAGTTACAAAAGTGCTTGCAGGTAACACTAAGGTAAGTTCTAAGGATGAGAAAAGTAGAGAAAAGACAAGGTTTCCTCCATGCTCGCTATGCAAAGGGCAGCATGCACTCTGGAACTGTTCCGTGTTCAAAGAGAAAAACGCAACACAAAGGGCTAAATATGTAGCAGAACAAAAGCTCTGTTTTTCTTGTTTACAAGGCAACCATACCTTCCGAAAGTGCCAAAAAGCAAGAAAATGCCCAAAACAGGACTGTGAGAGCACTCACAATGTGCTTCTTCATGGAGCCGAGAAAGTTTTCCCGCCCAAAGAGGCCGACCGATCACCATCGACTCAAACTAAAACAAACACTACTTCTGCAAATAACGCAGCTTGTGTTAAACCTTGTGAGGGAACTGCAAAAGGTATTCTTCCCGTTGCGTTGGTAGATGTGTCCTCTGGTTCGGAAAATTCGAATGCACTAGCACTTTGTGACACCGGTTCCACTCATTCTTGGGTTTCCGCGGCACTCGTTGAACGTCTGAAATTAGTTGGCACGCCCGTAAATGTTACGACCGATGGTTTTAACTCAGCCAAGGTATCTAAAACTCAGCGAGTTCACTTGAAAGTTTCCGCAAAGCCCAATAAAAGTGAATTTTCGTTTTCGTTTGTCGCTTTCGTTAAGCACAACATGTATATAGGACCCGATGTTATAAACGTTTCCGAATTGCAGGTCAAATACCCGCAACTAGCCCCGTTAAAGACGACTGCGTATAATTACAAAGATATTGAGATAGTTATAGGACAGGACTTCTATCATGCGATAAGACCCCTCGAACATGTCTTCGGAGATGAACTTGACTCACCGTGCGCCGTCCGACTTCCGATAGGTTGGGTCATTAGTGGTCCGTCTCCTGATCGTTCGTCCTTAAATTCTTCTTCCTTTAACTGCGTTACGGACGATACTTCTCTGACCGACCAAATCAAAACTTGGTATGAGTTAGAGTCGTATGGTGCGTTCAAGCAAGTAGATGCCCGTTCCGCCGCAGACAAGCGTGCTTTGTCGATCCTAAAAACTGAAACCGTTCACGATGGTGAGCGTTACACTGTACCGATGCTGTGGAGTGATAATGATGTTAGCTTGCCTAACAATTATTATTCTTCATTAGCCCAATTAAAGTCGTTAGAGAAAAGATTAGATAGAGATCCGTTACTTCGCGAGAAGTATACCGAAACAATCAGAGAAGATATAAGTAAAGGATATGTCATAACCGTGAACCCGCACGATCCCAGCTCACGAGCCGAACGTGAGTGGTATCTTCCACACCATCCGGTTTTGAACCCGAACAAACCCGGCAAGGTGCGCCGTGTGCTCAATGGAGCATCCAAATTTCATGGCACTTCCTTAAATAGATCTCTCTTGGTTGGCCCGGATCTCCTTCAAAATCTTATTTTTGTTCTGTTGAGGTTCCGTCAACACAAGTACGCCGTCTCAGCGGACATAGAAGGTATGTTCTTACAAGTTGGAGTACTTGCGCGAGATCAACCGTCTCTCCGTTTTTTGTGGCGGGAGGACCCCACTTCAAGTGTGGTGGTTCACCAATACACCCGTCATATTTTTGGCGCTCGTGATTCGCCAACTTGTGCGAATTTCGCGCTACAAAAAACTGCTTCTGATAATCAAGCTGAATACCCCGAAGCCGCTTCAGCCGTTGTCCAGAAGTTTTACATGGACGACTATCTTGACTCGTTCGAAAATACCGCTGACGCTCTTAGCCTAAGTAAAGACTTAGTCGCAATGCTCAAATTAGGTGGGTTTAACCTGACAAAGTTTGTTAGCAATGTACCCGAAGTTACAACCGCTCTTAATCCGGACAACCGTGAGTCCAACCCGTCAGTTAAGGATATTTGTAAGAGTCCAGACCAATCGTCGCATGTTCTTGGTCTCAGGTGGGATCATGTAAAAGATACCCTAGTAGTAAGTAGAGGTGTTGATCGACCACTAGATAAAGCAATTACTCAACGCACCGTGTTGAGTTTTGTTTCCTCAGTTTTTGATCCAATAGGACTGGTAGCTCCATATACTGTGAAAGCGCGCCTTTTACTAAAAGACATATGGAGAATCAGTGGTCAAAAGTGGGATGAT